TTATATAATACTACACACATATGCATTATATATATGGTTTTCTTTTAATTTTTTAAACAAAAACAAGATTATTTATACATTTTCCTTCATCATGCTTTTCTCAGTCAGGAACAACCAGAGGAAATTTCTCCAAATCACCCCCATAGAACTCTCTTTCTTTCTTGTTAACAACAGCAGAGGGGTGCATGGGTTATAATTAATTTAACAATGGTCTTAGTGATGGCCTTCACTTTGGATTCTTGCTGCCACAGAAGCATCTGTGATAGACACCATTACATAGGCCCTTACATGTCAGTGCCTCTGTTTCTAGGAGATAGACACTCAGGAGTATATTTACTGGGCAAAAGTGTTTCTGATTATTGCAGGAATAAAGATGAGGTCATTTAATAGCCATTGCATCCCCTTCTAGCATGGTTTCCCATTGAAGTGAGGATGGAAAGCCAAAAATCCCAGACCCTGGTTTGTTCATCTAAGTAAATACACTTGTGCTAGATTAGATGCTCTATGTAAACTATGTGAGAAGTGGTCATACATGACATGTGCTGGAAGCATTTGATTCCCTTGGGGAAAGCTATGTTGGAGTTCCTTCCTACCGTCTTCTTTCTACTCTCATCCATGCCCATAACAGGTAATGGCAGCAGTGAGGTTTCCACTGGATCATCCATGATGAGGTTGGATTTCTCCTAGCTGCATTATCACCCCAAATTTCTTGGAAATTCTTAAGACAATATTTTATAATAAATTAAAACGTGCTAGAGTAGATTCTGTTGGCTAAAACAAATAATGATAATACCAAGTCTGAATGAAACTAGAAAAGTTGGTGTTCATGCTACCTGTCACTATCAGAACCAATAAATAGAGATAAGAATTGAATCTTTACGGGCACTTTATTCAGATGCTGGTGATCTGAGAAGATAGCAGATTATGTACCCTAAATATCTTAGCACCTCAATTCAAGCCAACCTTTTTATAAGAAGAAGAAAAAGGTAGGTGAGGAGTTTGGAAAGAAGGTTAATCAGATAAGAGTCATAGTCCAGTGGCAATTTTCCTAGTACTTCTTTATCTGTTAATCAGGAATCCTTTATCTGCACCCTGGCCACCACCGCTCAGTTGGTTGAGCATCATCTTGCAAAGCAAAAGTTCACCAAATTCAATTCCTGGTCAAGGCACATGCCTAAGTTGCTGGCTAGGTCTCTCGTTGGGGCGCATGTAAGAGGCAGCAGATTGATGTTTCTCTCACATGTTGATATTTTTCTCCCTCTCCTCCCCTCTCTCTAAAAATAAATAAATGAAATCTAAAAAAAATTTTTTTCATATATAGAATTCTTTTTTAAAAAAATATTTTATTTATTTATTTTTAGAGAGGGAAGGGAGGGAGATAGAGAGAGAGAGAGAGAGAAACATCAATGTGCGGTTGCTGGGGGTTCTGGCCTGCAACCCAGGAATGTACCCTGGCTGGGAATCGAACCTGGGACACTTTGGTTCCCAGCCCATGCACAATCCACTGAGCTATGCTAGCCAGGGCTAAAAAAATTTTTTTAAAGAATTCTTTATCTATGTCATAGACATTCCCCCTCTGGAACACAATGACTCAGATACCATCTCAATCACTTGCAGACCCCTGGAGCACAAAGGTGAATTGCTGATCTACCTCCTGGATCACGTAGGTCACGCATTCCAGTTCCTGGAAGAACAGCCTTCCACATGCATTAATCACGTAAGATTATCAACCATAAGTACAGCTAAAATCTTTAACTCTTGAGTTTCCCTTATGATAATTGCAGGTGACACTACCTCAGTGGAATGGGAAGATAGGATTGGTTATCTAACCTGATTGCAGCTGAAAGCTGTGGCAACCTGTTCAACTTCAGAGAATGGATTACTGGCATGGTTTATGGTCCACTGTGGTGGACAATTACTTCAACTATCATCTGTGGTTACCTGAAGGAAAGTACATATTAAAGATAGTTCCTTAGTGATCAAAGTGGCTGCTGTGATACACCATGTGAACGGCATAAGGAATATAAAGGCTGTGGCCTGGGCTGGCTATTTCTAATTGTGCCTAAAGAAAATGAAAGTCTTTGGGTATTAAATTCTTGTCTTGGTTAGAGAACCAGGAAGTTCCTATGACTGCCCTAAAATAATCTCTTCATGCAGTCCCACGTGGTTGAATGTATTATTGGATTAACACAAGGTGAACTCCTGTCTTGTCTAATCTTTTAAGTAAAAGCTAAGGCACCAATTGGGAAAGGGTGGTACCATGAGAATTGGAATAGGTAAATGGGAGGATCTGGCCAAGTACTTCAAACCCCCTGAGCCTCCTCCCCACCTCTGGCCTGTGTGCCTTTTCCTGCCCTGGTTGACACCTTTTCTATGACCTCACCTGGGATAATCACTTACAAGTGAATGCCAGTTCTATTCATACCCCTTCTATCTCCTCTCATTACACACAGACTTGTGAATGGAGTCACACAGTCCCATGTCCCAGGGGACAAATTACGAAGTCCAATCTTAAAAAAATTGCAAGATTTTGCTAATTTATTTCAAAACATGGATAATATATGTGAGCGTGAAGTTCAAGAGATTAAGGACATAATTTTACATTGGCCTAAACTTATTTAATTTTAGAGGATCTAACCGCTTGATTGATTGATTGAAATCCAGTGTGGTTTATGCTACATGAAGTTGAGATACCAGAAACTCTTTGGTATGACAGAGAAATCCAAAGATTTTGGTATTTTGTAGTGGATTTATCATCCACCCCTTTCTTGATTAAACCATTCAAGAAAGCTCAAAAAACCTTCCCTTCATTATGGCATAGAAAAGTACACTAGTGAGGAGAGACCCATATTTTTAAAAGGAACCATAGTAGCTGTCCTCTGTAGGTCAGGGGTGGGGTTAGATATTCTGCTACTGGAATGCATTCTTCAATTTCAATGGAGATAATCACATCCAGAGTGGCAGAGGCCATAGAGTGGCACTTAATCAACAGAGAAAAGTGGGCATGGATGGCTACTGTAATTGGCAGCAGGACTAGATGGCAATCAGAATAGTCTGACCCACAGGAAACTTTGATAGTGCCTAATATGGGCTGCTCAGAGCCAAAACGGACAGCCCACTAAGGTTCTACTTAAACTGTTTAACTGAAAAAAAAAGTTTCAGTGTACAAAGAGTCTTGACATAAGCCATCACAATGAAAATTCATGGCCTCTTAGCCATTTTCCATTTCTGAGTCAGTTCAATACCCCTCAGGACCCCTTGAATGAAGGAGAGATCAAGAACCCTTGAGAAAGGACCTGTGATAACTTAGATACATACAGTAATTCATTTTCCTAGTCTTCCCCAGAAAGATTCATGCTTATTTACCATGGTAACTGAATCTGGGGAAAGGAAAATACCCAGATCTCTCAAGAATTATCAGTTATTGAATCTTAGCCAAAGTTACTTCCTAAGGAACTTGAATTCCACTGTAGTCAACCAGTGAGGGTGGGGCTTATGAGGGCTAGGAGGCCACCATTCTTCTCACAGTGGCCCAAAGTGTCTTCAGATCCATCCTGTGTTCATTTTCTTAGTTCTTGAGTTTATAGTGGGAGTAGAGATACTTAGCTACTGGTAGAAAAGAATGCATTGGTCTCTGACCCATGAAGCCAGTCTATTATAGTAGAAAGAACCAAAGGAAGGTCTTAAGATTTTTCCCTCCCTACCAAAACCATAAAGACAATACCACATCCCTTGGGGAAATTTCAGTGACTAGGCGCCATTGAAGACAAAATATTTTTACGTGATTATTCTTATCACATCTCCATTTCACTCACCTGTTTGAAGTGTGTCTCAGATCATTTTATTGGATTACCATAAGTTTGTTCAGATGGTAATTTTAATTGTAGCTGCTGATTCAAACGTGATCTCTTTACTGGAGAAAAATCAACAAATTTTCTGGTAACTGATAGGCTGTTACTGATCTTGAAACTGGAAAAGGCTGCTGGTCACTACCAGAACCAATAAGTAGATAAAGATTAAATTTTTACACGAGCTTTATTCAGATGGCCAGCAATCTGAGAAGACAGCAGTTAATGTAGTCTCAAAAACCATCTTAAAATCTCATTTTCCCTGGCTGGCGTAGCTCAGTGGATTGAGCGCGGGCTGTGAACCAAAGTGTCACAGGTTCAATTCCCAGTAAGGGCACATGCCTGGGTTGCAGGCCATGATCCCCAGCAACTGCACATTGATGTTTCTCTCTCTCTATCTTTCTCCCTCCCTTCCCTTTCTAAAAATAAATAAATAAAAGTCTTTAAAAAAAATCTCATTTCAAGCCAACCTTTTTATGAGGAAAAGAAAGGATAGGTAACAGGTTTGGGGGAAAAGGTTAATTGGATAAGAGTTGCTGTCTGGTGAAATTTTTCTAGTACTTTTTTATTGTTGATCAAAAATTATTTTATTTTAATTATATTTTATTGATTATGCTATTACAGTTGTCTGGATTTTCCCCCTCTGCCCCACTCTATCCAGCACCACCTACTTCCTCAGGCAATCCCCCACCATTGTTCACATCCCTGGTCAAGTATATAAGTTCTTTGGCTACTGCATTTCCTATACTCCACTTTACACACCCATGGCTATTCTGTAACTACCTATTTGTACTTATTAATCCCCTCACCTGTTCACCCATTCTCCTCCTTCCCACTTCCATAGGGCAACCATCTGGTAACTAAATTTTCTCTTGCTGCTTTTAAGACTCCCTCTTTATTTTTAACTTTTGGCTTTTAAATTATATGTCTTAGAGTGAGCCTCTTTGGGATCATCTTGTTTGGGACTCTCTGCACTTCCTGGACTTGCATGTCTATTTCCTTCACCAAATTAGGGAAGTCTTCTTTCATATTCTTTCAAATAGATTTCCAATTTCTTGCTCTTTCTCTTCCCCTTCTGGCACCCCTATGATGTGGATATTGGAATGCTTGAAGTTGTCCTAGAAACTGTTTATACTATCCCCATTTTTCCCCCAGGGGAGGTCATGAATACAGCCCCTCACTACCACAAATTATGCAGTCAAGTTTCCCACATTTGGAGAAATCGCAGGGATCAGCATATCCAGATGCAATGGATAAGTCTCACCCTGGAAAAACCACTTTCACGATGATGGTATCTCCCCTGTCAAGTAAGTATGTATCCTCATTTTGGGGGGTTCTTTTTTTCTTCTTGTTGTTCTGCATGGTTGTTTTTTGCTTCCTTAGTTTCCAAATTTTTTATTTGATTCTTGGCTTCATCCACTCTACTGTTGTTTCCCTGTAAATTGTTCTTTATTTCAATTAGTGTGTCCTTTGTTTCTGACTGGGTCTTTTTTATGCTGCTGAGGTCCTCACTAAGTTCTTTGAGCAACCTTATAACCACTGTTTTGAACTCTGCATCTGATAGGTTGCTTATCTCCATTTCTTTTAGCTCTTTTTCTGGAGTTTTGATCTGTCCTTTCATTTGCCCATATTTCTTTGTCTCCTTGTTTTGGCAGCCTCCCTGTGTTTATTTCTATGTATTAGGTAGAGTAATTTTTTAAAAGATCTTATTTATTTGCTTTTAGAGAGAGCGAAAAGGAGGGAGAAAGAGAGGGAGGGAAACATCAATGTGTGAGAGATACATGGATTGGTTGCCTCTAACATGCCCCAAGTAGGAACCTGGCACACAACCCTGGCATGTGCCCTGACTGGGAATCAAACCAGCGACTTTTTGGTTCACTGGCCTGCACTCAGTCCACTGAGCCACACAAGTCAGTGTTCTTCTACTATTCTATATAAAGTGGATGTTTTGGTTAGCTGATGCTGTATAACAAGCCACCACAAAATTTAATGGCTTAAGTACTGACCAGTGTGGCTCAGTTGTTTGGGTATCATCCCACAAAGTGAAAGGTCACTGGTTTGATTTCTGGTCTGGGCACATCCCTAGGTTGTGGCTTTGGTCCTATCATAGGCTACCAACTGATGTTTCTCTCTCACCTCAATGTTTCTCCCCCTCTTTCTCCCTCCCTTCCCTTCTCTCTATAAATAGATAGATAGATAGATAGATAGATATTTAAATTTAATGGCTTAAAACAACAACAACAACAATTTATTACTTTTCACAATTCTATAAGTTGACTGGATAGTTTTGGTTCACATAGTATGGAGCTAGACTATATTTTTCCAATAAATTTATTTATTTTTTAAAAAGATTTTATTTTTTTAAGTTTACTTTTAGAGAGTGAAGAAGGGAGGGTGAAGGAGAGAAATATTTATGTGTAAGAGAAACATCCATTGGTTGCCTCTCCTAACCCCCCAACCAGGGACCTGGCCTGGCCCAGGGCCCAGGGCCCAGACTTGTGCCCTGACAGGAAATCAAACTGGAAAACTTTCACTTTGTGGGAGAACACCCAACTCACTGAGCCACACCAGTCCAGGCTCCAGTAAATCTAATTTCTAATTGAATTTGTTGGGGTTACATTGGTCAATAAAGTTATATAGGGTTCAAGTGTACAATTCTACATCAAGCACAACTGTACAAGCACATCATGTGCCTATTGTATGGTGCGCTCACCATCCAAAGTCTAGTCTCCTTCTGTCACCGTTTATACCCTGTCTACCAAATAATTTCTTTTTAAAATTAAGTTGGCCAGATTAATTTCTATGGCTTAGTACCAAAGAACACCAACTGGGACAGAAATTGGTACCTGAGAGTATGTCCCAAGCAAAAGGCCCCTGAAGAATTATGGGGTATTTGGAATTGATCATCAGGTAAAGATTAGGCAGTGAGACTCCAGTTAATACTGGGGGAGAGGAAGCTAATAGCTCATGGAACCCAGCGGAGAAACACCAAAGTTCTACGGAATTGGGTAGCAAGTGCCTAGAACACACTCCGGAAGCATGCTGGGTGTTTGAAAACAGCGGTACCTGAACAAAGCGGTCTTAGGGGCAGAGATGAATACTGTGTATGAACTCAACAATATGACTTCTCGTCACTAAAGCTGACCCAGCTATCAGCACTTTTAAGTATCCAGTTACTGATAACAGCATCCAGCTGTGAACCAGCAGTGTGGTAGCAAGCCTTAAGGGGATCAGTGAGTTGAGACAGTAATTCTGTACTCACAGGAATAGAAATTTATTGCATATTTCATGTTGTCCTCACTGGCTTATCATATACTAAATTTTATATATATGTATATATATTTATATACAGACACATATACATATATAAAACAAAATTTTTGCCTACTTATACTACATATTAACTTTTATAATTTATTTTTCTGATTATAAAGCATTATAAAAATGAAACTATTAACTTAGCCATCAGTGGAAATGACTCATCCTAAGGGAAAGTTTACCACCAGGATTCAACTGCAGGGTCAAATTCAAGCACCTGGAGTCCACTTCACTTTCAGTCCAATGAATGCCCCCAGCCGCCAGCTGGAAGAAGGAATGAAAGGTTCCCCAGTAGGCAGACATCTTTATCTGCCCCAGTGAAGCCAGACTTATTCTGAAGCTCTATTTGGAATTTTTTGCCCAGCCAACTTTCATTCCACCATGTTTTTCAAGCACCTTCCTATATGCACAACACAGTCACAGGCACTAGGCATGCAGTGGCATGCAGAAAGACAAAGTCCCTTCTCTCACAGAGCTTGCCTTCTAGTTGGGGAGACAGACAATAAGCAAACAAATAAATGTTGGGTAGGAATAAGTAGTAAGAAGAAAAATAAAGCATTGGTATGGGTGTGGGTATATCAGGTTATCAGAGAAGGCCTCTCTGCTAATGTGAGCAGAGACTGTGGAAGTGTGTTCCACGCAGTAGGAACAGCAGGTGCAAGGGCCCTACAGTGGGAGAGGCTTTGTGTCTTGTGGAACTATGAAGTGGCCTGCGTGGCTTGAGTGATTGGCAGGAGTTTAGAAGTGGAGACATTGGTTAGGAGCCAGATCACAGCCAGGGGTGTCCAACCTGCAGCCTGCTGGCCACGTGCGGCTCAGGATGGCTATGAATACAGTCCAACACAAAGTGGTAAATTTACTTAAAACATTATGAGATTTTTTGTGATTACATGTTGCAATGTATTTAATGTGTAGCCCAAGACAACTCTTCTTCTTCCAGTGTGGCCCAGAGATGCCAAAAGTTTGAACACCCCTGATTAGGCTCTGGCAGACCTGGGTTAGGACTTTGGATTTCATTCTGAGTGAGGCTGAAAGCCCTTGAGGGGTTTGAATAGAGATACAATATGCTCAGATTAATGATTTAACCAGCATTCTTGTTCCCCTATAGAGAATAATCTATGATGGAAACTAGTTCCATACCTCTAAGTTTCATTTTCCACCATGTCCAAAAACTGCAGGCTCTTCCCATTTCCTCTCACTGCAGGGGTTTCGTTTAAACAATTTTGCAAGTGTTCTTTGGCTTGTCCTTCACTGCTGACCTCTTTCCTCCAAACCTGTCCAGAGTTGTAGACCACCTTCGCTGCTCTGTTGCCTCCTGCCTCATCCTGCCCTTAACTGAACCCAGTTTGCTCCTGAGGACACAGCTGTCCTTGCAGCATGGAGGTTGACAGTTTCTCATGTTCCACATACAGCGGGGCTAGGACTTGGGCTGTGCCTGCTCCCACTGCCCCACTGGAAGCTTCTCCACTGTGTGGTTTGATGGGAAGCAGCATAGGCTGTATAACCAGACAGACTGGGCTTGAAGCTGTGGTGTACCCCCTCTTATTGCCTGGGTTACATTGGACAAATTACTTTAACTTCTCCAAGCATTGGTTTCTTCGTCTGTAAAATGCTTTGCCAAATTGTTATGAAGATCAGAGGAGTCAATTATTGTAAAATACTCCTCATGGTGACTGGCACTCAAAAAAACCTTAGTCTTTCCTTCCCTCCTGTCCCTTTGATGACCATGTGGCACTCCATGTTACTTACCTGGGTAGTGTGGGGGGAGAAGGTGGCATCTGACCCACCTTCTCCCTAATTCAGCACCTGTCTCCATCCTAGGTCCACCCACCCCCACCAATTTTTATGAGATTATTTGAGCCAAACTAATGAGACATGTAGGGGAGCAAGATCTCAAATGCTCCCACCATCCTAGGAGTTTTTAATAACCATGTGGGGAAACCTGTTTCAGGAACTCACTCTCACAGCCACACCTGGGGCCTTTTACACTTCAATATTTGGGCCTCCTGTCAAAACCCTCCTGTTTCTCCATTCACCCATTTGTGCCATCAACCGTTTTGTGCCCTTAGTCTCTGAGTGCTTCTTCTCCAGGTCCAACAGCTGCATCCCAGGGCTACGCCTTTCCTCCCTCTGGCTTAGACCTCCTCCCGTGGATCAGTGTGTGTTTTGGGTTTCAGTCAACAGAAGCTGACACTGGCTAGTTTCAACAATATTGTACTAGACGGATACTGTAGGACTCCTAGAACCAGTGGGAAAGCTGGAAACCAGGCTTGGAAAAGGGGTGGTATACTATATTGGTCTTATCATTCAGTACATTTATTCCCTTTCTTCTGTTAACCGCCATGAGAGAAATACGATGTTGGATTGGCTCATGTAAATTTCTTTTTAACTTCTCAATCAGAAAAGGATTAAATCATGTCTTATTTTTTTAATCTTTTTTTCAATTATAGTTTACATTCAATATTGTTTTGTGTTACGGTAGTTTCAGGTGTACAGCATAGTGGTTAGACAGTCATATACTTTATGAAGTCTTCACCCTGATATTTCTACTTATCTAGCACCAAACATAGTTATTATATTATTGACTATATTCCCTATTGTACTTTATATCCCTGTTACTAATTTGTAACTACCAATCTGTACTTCTTAATCTCTTCAGCTTTTTCACCCAGTCCCCGAAACCTCCTCCCCTCTGGCAACTATCCTACACTTTCTGTATCTGTGAGTCTGTTTCAATGTTGTTTATTCATTTATTTTGTTCTTGAGATTCCACATATAAGTGAAATCATAGGGTATTTGTCTTTCTCTGACTGACTTTTTTCTAGAGGGTATTGTATTATACCCTCTAGAAATCCATGATCTTACAGATTTCATTCTTTTTTTTATGGCTGAGTGGCCCATGTGATTTGCTTTGGCCAATGAATTGTAGGAGGAAGTGCATTTGTGTTTCTACTTCCTCTGGAGCTTCCTCTGTCATGGTTGGAACATTCTTTGGGTCACCTGCTGGCCCCAGAGTAATGAAAGACAGGGTGGAGTCAAGTCACACCAGCCAACTCACACACTGTACTTGAAACAGATATCCTCAGTCAACCAGCTAGTGAAAAAACAGGAAATAGTATTTGTTTAAAATTAGGTCACTGAGATTTTGTGATTGCTTGTTACAATGCACTAACTGTGAACAGCTGACCAAGAAAGGCAAGAACCAAGGAGAGCTGGGGAGTAGGACCCATGACAAAAGTCATGCCGTAAGAACCAGTTAGTGAGGATATTTCTGCTTGTTCCACTGGCTGTTGCTACTGTTGAACTCTAAATTCCATCACTATGAATGGGTTCTAAGCCAGTTCTTTTCAAACTTCAATGTGTCTATGAGTCACCTGGGGATCTTGTTAAAATGCAGATTAGGTAAGTCTGGGTGGTGCCTAAGGTTCTGCACTTCTAACAAGATCTGGGGTGATGCTATTGGTATCCAGAATATACTTTGAGAAGCAAAGTTCTGAACTTCTCCTGTTTTCCCCCTTAAGAGTCAAAGTCACAGATGGCAGCATACGAATGTGTGAATCTAGATCACATGTCCATGCTCTGGCTGCTAGGTGGCAGGGAGAGAGAGAATTCTGGAGTAGGTGAGGAGGAAATGTATTGTCCTTGATGTTTGACAGGGAAAAGAAAGCAGTGGTTCTCAACCATTACTGTGCATCCGCATTACTTGGGGGTGGTATGGCCTTAAAGATCAGATCCTCAGAGCCAACCCAGACTTCCTAAATCTTGTTCTCTGGGCAAGAGAGCTGGGATTCTTCATAAAACACACACCTCAGGTAATTATGATGAAGGTGGTCTGTGGACCACACTTCAATTAACATGAATAAAAAAAACAGGAAATGAATTAAAGCAACTTGTTACCTGAGTAACAATCCACTTACCTGAGTAAAGGATCTTTTTTGGCACCTGTCTTTCCTCTGCTATATGAGAAATCCCCACACTTATCCTGCTTGATTGAGGTGATCCCTTCACCTGAATCACCATTATCTTCTCTGATTTTGTCAATTCTCTTTTGGTTTTCTTTTCTAGCTTCAATGTCTTTCCTTCCCTTGGGTCAATTTTCTTTGCCCCATGAGTGGGCAGGTCCAAACCGAGTAGCCTTTCAGGTCTGTGGCACATTAGACATATGGTGCGGAGAGCAAAAAGTTGTCTCTTAAGAATAAGGAAGTCTTAATTATTTTTTAAAAGATTTTACTTATTTATTTCTAGAGAGAGGGGAAAGGAGGGAGACAAAGACAGAGAGAAACATTAATGTGTGGTTGCCTCTCATGTACCCCCAACTGGGGACCTGGCTGACAACCCATACATGTGCTCTACTTGGGAATCAAACCTGCAACCCTTTGGTTCCCAGGCCAGTATTCAATCCACTGAGCCACACCAGGCAGGGCTAATTAGGTTTCGAAGTTCAACCATTAGGCAAAGAGCAGAAGTCCCCACTTCCCACCCTGCATGACTGAAAATCTGTGTATAACTTTTGACTTCCGCAAAACTTAACTACTAATAACCTACTGTTGACCAGAAGCCTTACCAATAATATAAACAGGATTAACACATATTTTGTATGTTATATGTATTATATGCCATACACCTATACTAAAGTAAGCTACAGAAAAGAAATTGTTAAGAAAATTACAAGGAAAATACATATACAGAATTTGTTGAAAAAAAATCAGCATGTAAGTGGACCTGCACAGTTCAAACCCACATTGCTCAAGGGTCAGTGGTACTTGTTGTCCATCGAGAGGTATGAGAAGGGGCCCTGAGAGGTGTGAGGTATGAGAGGTGTGAGAAGGGGTCCTTGTTGGGAACAAGGAAATTAAGAACTAAATTTAACCTTAATAGACAAGAACCACATTGTAGCTAAAAAGAAATGATAAAAGAGACAAAGTACAGTTAAAGCAAACATCCTGTGTCTAGCAGACGCTCTCCCCTAGGTAGGCTAGATAAGCAGTGCTTTGTAGTTTTTAATGAGAAAATAGAAAACTAGCTAGCTAGAGCCAGGAGATTACTAGGTTAATGAACAAACATCCTGCCTTATGAAAGAATGCTTGGTTTGAAATTCCCGCGCGCGGTCTTTGTAAGTGAATTACTAACTGCCACGTCTGCTTCTGTATAACGCTTGCTTGCCCGCCCATATATAAGAATGTAGTTGTAAGCGCTCGGCGCGGCTCTCGTTTGCAGCTCCTTGTGGGCACTGTGTCGCTGGACACTTTGAGAGTTCGCCCCTGCGCAGGTTAAACTTGGCCAATAAAGTAACATCTTTGATACCCTGAAAGTCTCCGATATTTGTTCTTGAGTTTGCTGGATGCTACAGTCCTGAGAGGCCTTGGGCCCCAGTCCGAGTTCTACTTTTACAGTTTTGCCAGGATTGAGTCTTTGGTGGAAAGGAAACACATTTTTGGAAATACCCCTAAAATTACCCTGTCGATATTGGTCCAGTATCATTGACAATTTACCTCTGCTATTGTGGGTAATACCATGAAGAATATTTGCTGATTCTGTGTTAGTTATGCCCATGTCCTTAGTAATAGCAAAGCATCTAAAGATTCTTTAATTTGCCATTCATTTTATAGGGGTTCCTGTCATGATCAGGAAATCTTTTTTTCTAAAGCATTTCAAAGTCATTGACTAACCCCAGAACTTAAGTACTCTCTGAATAAATATTTGCTCTTTTCTCCTTCACTAGCTGATAGGTCTGGGCCAGGGCAATTACTGGACTTACGGAAGACCTGGGATGGCACTGACTCAGCCAGCCACCTTCTAGGTAAGAGGCTTTGGGCAAGTTATTTTCTGACCCTTAGATTTTTCAAATATAAAATGATAATATGTCTCAAGAACTGCAAGCATTTAATGAGTTACTGCCTAATAGTCAATGAATAATACCTACTACTAAGTCCTTCAAATTGGTTAATTCCTTTGATTATCATAACTATCCTATTCAATGGGCCATTATCCTCGTTTGATAGAGGCTCAGTCACACCACTTGCAAGGGGTGACGTCAGAATTCAAACTCCCCATTTCTCTGATACCAGCGCCCATTCCTTTCTTAACTCCTATACTACCCTTAAGGTTCAAGTGCCCTGAACGTGTCACCTCTTACAGTTTGTCACACCTTTGGCACTCAACTTTTAAAAATTTATCATTTGCAAGTTTGTCATAATTTTGTCCTAGTCTATGCTCTCCCCTCCATGCAGGGGCAAAATTCAGCCTTGGCACTGCCCATCCGAGTACTAAGTTCCCCCATCCCGTGAGAGGAGCCTAGTCTGAGTTTATTGTGAGCTTACACTTCTGTGAGCAAGATACCAGCCGGTGACGAGGACGAGGCAGTGGCGTCACCAACCCCGCCCCCTTCTCCAGCCTTCCCGCCCGCCCCCGCGGGGCGTCCTTAGCAACGCGCGCCCTCTCCCGGCCCCGCCCCGTCCGCGCTAGGCGGCGCGGGACTCAAGGTGGTGGCGGTCTCTGCGCCTGCGTGAGGCCGCAACCGCCAGTCAGTTGTCTTCCCCTCCTCTCCCTCCCCCCTCCCATCTCCTCCTCCTCAACCTCGGAGAGCGTGACACCAACATGGAGCCTGAAGACCTGCCTTGGCCTGGAGAGCTCGAGGAGGAGGAGGAGGAGGAGGAGGCGGGAGAGGAGGAGGAGGTACAGGAGGAGGAGGTACAGGAGGAGAAGGAAGAGGTGGAGAAGCCGGAGAACTTGGATGAGGATGAAGTGGTAACGGTGGAGGACGAGGAGGTAGAGGAAAGGCGGGAACTGGACGCGGACTTTAACTATGAGAGCCAGCCTCTGGAAAGTACCGACGACGACGAGGAGGATGAGGAGGCCAAAGCCTGGCTGCAGGCGCACCCCGGCGGGACCTTGCCTCCAACGTCGCTGCCCAAGCACCGCTACTCCGAGATCGAGCCAGCCGGCCCGGATAAGGTGGGCCAGGCCGGGAGGAGGTGTGGGCCGCCGACGGGGAGGGGTGACGGGTCGATCGTGAGCGCTCCGCTGGTGCTCTGACCGTGCTCCCTCCTGCTCTCTGCCTGTCACCGTTTCTGACATAGAATAAGCGCGCTTTTAAAAGGCTTGTAAGGGCTCTCTCGGCTCTTAGTTTCTGGCTGAGTACAACCTCTCGTTCTTTTTGGCAGAGACCAAACGTTTCTGCCCTTCGGTGGGTCCCGGGCCTTTTGAATAACACCAGGTGTTCAGAGGAGCCAGTATTACCAGCTTGTATAGTTAAGAAAAGCTTTTGGGAGGAGGTGGGTTCTATCGTGCTTCGGAGTAGGTGGAAAGGGCGGTGTCGGAGTGGTGAGGGTGGTTGCCCAGGGACTATCGTGTTGGGAAGACAATTAGATTAGTTCGCCTGAGTGCGGGACTGCCCTGCGGGAGTAGTGTGGGTTACGTACACTGGCGTTGAGTAATTAGTCTCTAGCGGCTCCTCGCGGATTGTGTTTATCTGGACCCTCTTTGTAGCAGTAAAGGGGCTCCCAGTGAGTAGGAGGAGCTTATAAGTGCAGGTGGTTTTTGCCACAAGTCCAGTCTGGAAAACTATAAAGCGCCACAATGGAGAAAGAGCTGATTTTATGGTTGCCTCCCTAAGATCAATTTGAAAATAATTGCATTTAATGAATTGCTTTTCGGCGAGAAAAAAAAGAGACTCAGATAGCAAGCTATCATTTATTAAGTTTCTATGCTGTACAGTGTACATTGTGAGGACTAAAAGAAGCCTAGGGTTTATTGGCTAGGGCTGCCCTTAGGCAACATGTAAACTGAAGAGTAAAACAAAAAAAGTACAACTGAAAAGACAGAAAAAGCTCTATAGACTTGTGCTGTTCAATCCAGTAGTCAGTAGCATTAGAAGTAAATAAATTAAAAAATTCCGTGCCTCTGTTGCACTAATCACTTGCCAAGTGCTCAGTAGCCACACTTGACTAGTGGCTACCGTCCTGGACAATGCAGATATAGAATCCCTCCGTCATTACAGAAAATTCTGTTGGTCAGTGATGCTATGAACTATTGATCATTAAAGAATATTAATAGTTATTTTGCCTGGTATATATTCCAGTGGAACTCTAATTCATTGAGCATATTATTGTTGAGCATTCACCACCGGCTGTGCATTTGTACTGGATGCAAATGACCCTTGGTGAACCCAACTTTTTTTTTTTTTTTTTTTAGTATGTTTATTAAAGCTGGGGATGGTGAAACAAGAAAGGGCTTAGGATAGAAGCAACTGAAGAGAGCCTAAGCGGGGCTCCTTTGGCTCACTGGAAAGGGGCACTTGGAGACAGGTTTAAGGGGGTTACCCAGGTCGGCGCCTGCTGCTGCCTATTGCTCCCTTATTTGCAAGAATTGTGGGGATCCTTCGAGTTTAGGAGATGCAGGCGTGAGGGGGGAAGAAAGGCATGGGCGTGCTCTTGGGAGGGAGAGCACCAACCCAAACATTTTTTATGTCTGATTTTTGAGTGTTTAGTCTAGGGAGAAAGGCAGAAAAAATGTAGGTGGTGCCATAAATAAAACTGATATGTGTTAACATGTTTCAAAAGCATACAGTAAGGGAATCTGATTTTGTCAGTGAAGCTGGAGAAAGCTTCCCTTGGGAAGTTATGTGGTAGAGCTGAGATCTGAAGTCAGATTAAGGTTAGCTAGGAAAGGTAAGGGAAAGAGCCTTGTAGTTGAGGAGAAAGCACAGGTAAAGGTACCGTTGGTTAGAGGAAGCATGGTATTTTTCAGGGAACTGAAGGCCAATGTGGGCTGAGCACAGACTTCAGTTGAAGCTTGTGTGCTATGTGCAGGTTTTCCCAATCCTTGGAGGTTTGGGAAGTCAATGAAAATGTTTTAAACAAGGGGGCCATATATGATAATGTTTGTGTTTTAGATAGATCACTTTGTAGCAGAGTGGAAAACAGCTTTAACAGCAGGGTGGGGTGGACGGTAGCAATAATAGATCCGGGATGCTAATTAGGAGAGGTTTCAGTATTGCCAGGAAAAAGATGCTGCTATTTTGGAATAGGGAATTATTGGTGGGTACAGAAAATAGACTGATTCAATAGACATTTAAGAGGTAAAATCACCACACTTAATACAGTAATTTTACATTATTATTACACTAATAATGGATTAGATGTGGAACATAAGGGCAAGAAGGTATCCAGGTGTTAGGTTATTGGATCAGTGGTTGTACTGGATATTGAGATATGGCCAGGTATATGGTGTGGGTGGTGGCCATGGGGGTTGGTGATGGGATGAGTTGGGATGGGTTGTTAAGGTTATCAGTTTGGGTTTGGAGAGCAGAGGAGGGGTCTGAGCTGGAGATTTGAAGTTGTGAGTTGTCTCCATACACATAGACCGTAATTAAAGCCACACTTGTGGACAAATTCTAACTTTTATGTTTTAAGACTTCATTTAATTAAATTTAATTTATATCTTTAAGCCTAAAGGGGAATGTTTTAGTTAAATCACTTTTAACACTTTTACATGAGATATGGAAAAATTATCCTGTTTAACAAGGACTTATCTAAGTATAATAAAAAAATTTTTGCTTCTTTGAGCCCAGAGTGTTTTTCCCCCAGGGGGTTTCTTTTTTAAAAGAAAAATCCAATATTCTTTTATTTACCTCAAAATATGAAGGTGTAAATGGTGTGCTATGTTAAAGATAGTTTTAAAATAATATGAAGAGTATTATGATTTTTTTGTTTAGTTCACTGATACATTAAAACTTACTGGAATAAGTTGCAAAATGTATAAGGGAGAAACTTTAATGTTTCTTGCTAGAAATTTCTGAACCATAAAATTTTTTGAAGATGAGTTTGTTGTGTAGTACTTAATGCACTATATTTAAAGGATGAGACCAAATAATAGGAAACATTAATAATTTCTTTCAGTTTAGTTCAAGTTAAATGACAAAATTGTAGTATCTGATTCATAATGAGGATGTTGTAGTGATGTTGTATACAGTAGTGATTGCTTTTGTAGTTCTGGTAGTGAAATTGAGCTAAGGCAGGGAACTGTTTAAATTCAAAGTGAAATGTGACCACACTTACAACCATGTCTTTTTAAGAGTTCAGGAAAGTGAAAATTCAGAGCCTTTGCTGTGTTGGTCTTATATGCTGGTCCTGCAGACCATTCAACGTGAATCATTTCAAACCTAAATTTCTGAGCTGTGTTAGGGAAAATAATTCAGTTCTGCGGAGTGGTATCAATCACTAGAAATTCTTGGTCTCTGACCTTTTTTTTTCAAGATTTTATTTATTTATTTCTAGAGAGAGGGGAAGGGAGGGAGAGAAACATTGATCCTGTTGTCTCTTGCACATGCCCCAACCAGGACCCAGCTGGCAAACCAGGCATGTGCCTTGACTGCAGTGAAACCAATGACCCTTCACTTTGCAGGGTGACGCCCAACCGACTGAACCAAACGGGTCAGGGTGGTGGGGAGGGTCATCAACAGTGTTGGGAAATCTTTTTATGTCTCCCCCTTAGCTTTCCCATCTTCACTGTTATTCTCTAGCCCTTACCCAATGTTCAGATCCTCCTCCCATCAGCAGGTTATCATTGCTTAGAAAGAGAGGAAAAAGGCCTGAGTGCCTTCACCTTTCGGTTCCCCATCACCAAGTTTATTTACACTGCACAATTCTGATCTTTTTTGACCCATTAACACATACTTTATTCTTAATCTTTTCCTGGGCTCCTAGGCTAAAAACTATTAATCATAGTGTATTCTTCTCTTAAGGAACTGCTGGATTTTATTTGGAGATGCTTTAGAAATGATAATTTTTTAATTGTTTTCTTGACCTATCATTGTCAAATTTGACATCAGTATTATGCTGCCTTCATACAAGATATTGGGAACATTTTTATTTATGCCCTGGAATAGTTTAAGTAATATATGAATGTTGCTTTATATTTCTTCGTTGGTCTTCTGTCTCAGTGCCTATTTAAAAAAAATTAGTCAACTCTTTTTGAAGCAATTTTTTAAAAAAATTTTTTTTTAAAAAGATTTTTAAACAGATTTCATTTATTTTTAGTGAGAGGGAAGGGAGGGAGTAAGAGAAGGAGACAAACATTGATGTGTGAGGGAAACATCAATAGATTGCTTCTTGCACGTGCCCCAACCCTGTTCAGGCCTGCAACCCAGTTTTGTGTCCTGATCGGGAATCAAACCAGCAACCTTTTGCTTTGTGGGATAAAACTCAACTCACTGAGCTACACAGGTCAGGACTTTGGAACAATTTATGTCTACAGAAATATGGAGCAGAAAGTACAGAATTCCCATATACCCTCTCTCCCTCCCCTATTTTCCTTGTTTGTGTGGTACATTTATTATAATTTGTAAGCCGACATTGACACATTTTTATTAATTAAAGTTCATAGCTTATATTTGGGTTCTTTCTGTACATTCCCTGGGTTTTGACAAATGTATAATGACATATATATGACAGTACCATACAGAGTAGTTCCACTATCCTAAAAATTCTCTTTGTTCCACCTATTCATCTCTCCCTCCCTTCCTCTGAAAACCTGGAAACCACCGATATTTTTACTGTCTTTATAGTTTTGCCTTTTCTAGAATGTGCTATAGTTAGAATCATATCGAATGTAGCCATTCTGGAATGGCTTCTTTCACTTAACAATATGCATTTACGTTTTCTCCATGTCTTTTTATAGTTTGGCATCCTTTTTTTCACTCTTGATTTTTTTTTGAATTGTGGTGAAATACACATAATATAAAATTTACCATTTTAACCATTTTAAGTGGCATTAAGTACGTTCACATTGTTCTGTAACCATTATTACCATTCATCATCAGAATGTTTTCATATTTCCAAACTGAAACTCCAACATCTCTGCCATATTTCAGTCTGGTTCTTGCTTTCTCTTCAAACTGTTTTTTTAATATGTTTTATTAATTATGCTATTACAGTTGTCCCATTACCCCCCTT